TTAGCCTTTGCCCTGCTTCATTCTGTACTCCAAGGCCAAATTTGCCTGTTACTCCAGGTGTTTCTTGACTTCCTACTTTTGCATTCCAGTCCCCTATGAAAAGGACATCTTTTTTGGGTGTTAGTTCTAAAAGGTCTTGTAGGTCTTCATAGAACCGTTCAGCTTCAGCTTCTTCAGCATTACTGGTTGGGGCATAGGCTTGGATTACCATGATATTGAATGGTTTGCCTTGGAAACGAACAGAGATCATTCTGTCGTTTTTGTTTTTTTTCCCATTTATTTTTATTAGTTGGAGGCTAATTACTTTACAATATTGTAGTGGTTTTTGTCATACATTGACATGAATCAGCCATGGATTTACATGTCATTGGTCGTTTTTGAGATTGCATCCAAGTACTGCATTTTGGACTCGTTTTTTGACCATGAGGGCTACTCCATTTCTTCTAAAGGGTTCCTGCCCACAGTAGTAGATACAATGGTCATCTGAGTTAAATTCACCCATTCCAGTCCATCTTAGTTCACTGATTCCTACAATGTCGACATTCACTCTTGCCATCTCCTGTTGGACTACTTCCAGTTTGCCTTGATTCATGGACCTAACATTCCAGGTTCCTATGCAATATTGCTCTTTACAGCATCGGAGCTTGCTTCTATCACCAGTCACATCCACAAGTGGGTGTTGTTTTTGCTTTGGCTCTGTCTCTTTATTCTTTCTGGAGTTGTTTCTCCACTGATCTCCAGTAGCATATTGGGCACCTACCGACGTGGGGAGTTCCTCTTTCAGTATCCTGTCATTTTGTCTTCTCATACTGTTCATGGGGTTCTCAAGTCAAGAATACTGAAGTGGTTTGCCATTCCCTTCCCCAGTGGACCACATTCTGTCAGACCTCTCCACCGTGAACCGACCGTCTTGGGTGGCCCCACACGGCATGGCTTAGTTTTATGGAGTTAGACACGACTGTGGTCCTGTGATCAGATTGGCCAGTTTTCTGTGATTATGGTTTTAGTGTGTCTGCCCTCTGATACCCTCTCTCAACACCTACCATCTTACTTCAGCTTCTCTTACCTCAGACGTGAGGTATCTCTTCCCGGCTGCTCCAGCCAAGCACTGCCGCTGCTCCTTAACCTTGGGTGAGGGGTATCTTCTCACGACCGCCCTTCCTAACGTTGAACGTGGAGTAGCTCCTCTCAGCCCTCCTGCGCCCCGCAGCAGCCGCCCCTTGGAGGTAGGGTTGCTCCTCTTGGCCGCTGCCCCTGACCTCAGAAGTGGGGTAGCTCCTCTCGGCCGCCGCCCCTGCAAGCCAGCTTTTTCACTCTCTTGTTCACCTTCATCAAAAGGCTCTTTATTTCCTCTTCTTCTTTTGCCATAAGGGTGGTGTCATCTGCATATCTGAGGTTATTGATATTTCTCGTGGCTGTCTTGATTCCAGCTTGTGCTTTATCTAGCCGGGCATTTCTCATGATGTACTCTGTGTATAAGTTAAATAAGCAGGGTGACAGTACACAGCCTTGACATATTCCTTTCCCAATTTGGAACCAGTCCATCGTTCGCCATGGAGAAGGAAATGGCAACCCACTCCAGTATTCTGGCCTGGAGAATCCTGTTGACAGAGGAGCCTGGTGGGCTGCTGTCTGTGGGGTCGCACAGAGTTGAACATGACTGAAGTGACTTAGCATGCATGCATGCATTGGAGAAGGAAATGGCAACCCACTCCAGTATTCTTGTCTGGAGAATCCCAGGGACAGAGGAGCCTGGTGGGCTGCCCTCTGTGGGGTCACACAGAGTCTGACATGACTGAGGGACTTAGCAGCAGCAGCAGCAGCTGCCATTGTTCCATGTTTGGTTCTAACTGTTGCTTCTTGACCGCACTTCTTAGATTCATTTATAGCAATGTGAGCGATTAGTTGTCTCTTGGGCCGTTTTGGCCCAAGCTGCAGAGCATTATTTTAAGTCCTTCTGGCTTAAAGTGAGCCTTCTAAGCTCATCCTGGCTAAAACAACCCCTGGTGGTGTTTATAGATGTCGTTTTTAACTTTATTTCTCTCTGTCTCTTTTAAACAACTGAATTTGTTTTTTAAAGTTAAATCCTCTAAAGAAACCCCATACATAAAAAGAGGAGCTGGTATGGTTAACAACAAAGATTTGTTAGTGGTAATAGTTGGGGATAGGGAGTTGGAGAGATCAGCAAAGGGAAAGAATGAGTTTTACTCTGATTACTTGGACCCTCATTCCTGGAGGTGTGGGACCTCTGAAGTGTGTTAGAGGTTAGGAAGCAGCTTGAAATCTCCTGATGCTGAGGTTCATGGGATCCAGTTCCAGTGGTTGGCATGAATAAGAAGACTTTCTGTTCAACAAGTTCCTTGGTGATTTGTCATTACCCTGGGGTAGTGATTTTCAGTTCTTTCTTGCATCTGAGAATTAAGAACTAGGCCATCACTACAGCTGGGGCTTTAATAAATTCTCAGCTGTCATTAAAACTCTCATCAGTCACATTTGTAGTTAGTAATATGGACAAGCAGCTTTTTTTGTAAATTAAGTTGCCTTGGAATAGATGATTTTATTAGTGTAGATATAGCCAAAGAATTACTGTCATATGAGGAAAAGCTTAGGAGTAATCAGCATATTGATCTTGTGTAAGCCTCTATAATGTTCTGACGAATTTTTAAAATACTTGACATATTTTAAATTATTCTGTAGTGTTATTTTTAATTTTGAACTTTAGCTAGCATCTGATGAAGCCCTGTGCTAAACACCGTGAGGAGATGGAGGGAGAAAAATAGGACAGGGTCCTTGCCCTCACATTTGCGTCGTGCCAGGTACAGAATGAAGAACGTGACGTTTTAGGATTTTTTTTCCTTTCCTTTTTCATTCACCACCTGAGCTTTTTTGTTTCGTATTGTGAAATTTCAAATTTTAATTTGCTGACTTGTAACATGTTTATGGCTGAAAATTTAAGGTTGTATATTTTCTTTCAAATTATTAGATTGCAAGATTGGAGGAAGATAAAGAACTCCTTAACCAGTTGCACAGTGTTGATCCCACAAGAGAGGGCAAACGAGTGGACCAACTTGTTCGAGAAAAAACCCATTTGAATCAGAAATTAAAAAGTTTAGAAGCTGAAGTAGCAGAATTAAGAGCTGAAAAAGAAAATTCTAGTGCTCAGGTGGAAAATACCCAAAGAATTCAGGTGCGGCAGTTGGCTGAGATGCAGGCTACAGTCAGATCCCTGGAGGTAAGGTTTTAATTGCTTCCCGGTAGACTATGGCATCCTTTTTCTTTTTTTCTTGAAGTGCAGTTGACAGACCTTTGATTTTTAGAGCATAAATACATGCTCACCACTTTAATGCTGACGCATTTGTGGAATCCCAAGAGTAGATATACTTTCTGTAAAGAAGAAAGCTCTTGATTGAAGCAATAGCTATACTACCACATTTACAAAGGGATTATTTGTTCTTTGGAAGTCATGTCACCTAGCTGAAATGTTTTAACTCTTATAATGCCACAGAGTAGAATATTCAATCATATTTTAAAAAATTGAGTTTCTAAAGACTAAAATCATCTCAAACCAGAAAGAGCAATTTATTTCTAGTCATTCCCTTACTCTGTGATTTAAGATCTTAAAATCATAAATCCTGTTTCAACAGAAATACTGCACTTATGTATCTTATGACAGCTTCGTGCCAGAGTAACAAAATTCAGCTTGGCTACTAATGCATATAAGCCTTTACTGAAGTATTCCTAAATTCATTAGAGAAAGAAAAGAGCTGTCAGAGCTACATTAGTACTCTTAGAGGTATTCTCCTATGAAGTTCTTGGTTTCCATTGTTGGAAAGGAAAAACTTTTCCTTTATCCGCTTAGGTTCAGTGTTTGAGGATTGTGAGTTAAACTGACAACATACAGATTAGCAAGAGAAAAGGCAGATTTTTACCCGTGTGTAAACAGGAATTCACAGAAAAATGTGACTCAGAGACAATTGTAATTTGGGGCTTATATACCATCTTAATGAGGAAAAGAGATGGGGAGAAAGGACAATTATAGGAAAACAAATGACTTTTAGGAAAGATAAATGGGCCCTTAGGAAAACAAATGGGAGATGTGACAATTTTGTGATGATGTTTGTGTAGATGATTTCTTATCCTGGTGGTGTTGTCTCCTGTGATAGAAATTGGTCTTCCCTGGTTATGAAACCCCTGGGGAAAGGAATTCTAACATTTAACTTCTTTTTAGAGGCTCTGCTTTTAGACAGATAAGAAGAGTTCAAGATAAAAGTTTTTCTTGTGTCTTCTGATTCTCAGAAGACTTCAGCTCAAAGTAATATTTGTGTCACAGTGGCAAATTCTGGACCCCTGTACCATTTTATTTAGATAATGCTTAGTGTCTTACATGAAGCAAACATACTAGTTTCATAGTTTTAAAAAATTTATTTATTTTGAGCAATCTGAAATGTTTTGTTTTCAGAATGTTTCAGAATAGTTGTGAAGTGATTTGAACTGGAGGGAAATTAGTATGCACATAGTTTGTATATAAACTTCCATCCGTAATGTATCTCCTCAGTGACAGAATAAGTGGGGTGATTGTGTTTTGAGTATAGTATGTGATCTCTGTGTGAAACTTTGTGTTGAGGTCATTTAAAGTGATTATTTTTAGAACGAATTGAATGATGACACAGGGTGGGAAGTTTATTTGTGATGTTTTCAAAAAAGCCTATGTTTTTATTATTTGTCAGATGAAAATAAGTAAATGGCAGCCATCATGCCTTTCTTTGTTGTTGGTTTTTTTTTTTTTTTGGGTTCTCATTGTGCCTGGAGAGTTATCATTTTATATGTGAGGAAATAATTTTTTTGAATTATTTTTAATACACTCCTCATATTTAAGATATATAGGAAATGAGATGTTATAGAACTGAAGCTTATCCTTTAATTGCAAAATATTTTCATGTTAGCTATTTTGAATAGAAATATTTTTAAAAAGTATTTATTTTTCCCTTTCTAATTAAAGAGTACTATGAGTATTACCAACCAGAAATTTTCTTGACAACTTCATTAAGAATTTTTATTATGTGATGAGGTCAGGAACTGTGGAGTTCTTTGCCCATACTTCCAGAAGCTCCAGATTAGTTGAGGATTTTGAAATTTTCATCTCTTGGGTTGTTTTTTTTTTTTTCTCCTTAATCTCCGTTGATTTTAGATTTTCAGTTCTCACTTTTTAATACCACAAATGAGCCCTCCTGTCTACCTGGTAATATATTTTTTCATATTTTCTATGCACTTTTAATCCTTCAGAATGCTTATTTGAATTATGTTCACAATAATAGTAAATAGGTATCAAATGAGTGTGTTAGGTACACATTCTCTGAGAGAAGTATATGGGTTTTAGCTTGGTGGTAGGGGCTGTTGATAAGTAATTGTCTAGGTGACATTCTTGCATATTTTCTGGAACAAATATCTTTCATTTGAATTCTTCTAATTGCTTTGAGAAAACTTGTTACTTTGGTATATGTTAATGTTGAGGTTTTGAATAACTTGAGGTAGTATGATTATTATATTATTTTTATATAATTGTGAAAAATTATCAGCAAATTTTAAAATATTTTGTTTTAATAAAAGGCTGAAAAACAGTCAGCTAAACTACAGGCTGAACGCTTGGAAAAAGAGCTACAATCAAGCAATGAACAAAACACTACGTTAATTAGTAAATTGCATAAAGCTGAACGGGAAGTAAATACATTGGCCAGTAAAGTAAGTTGTCCTCAGTATTTGCTTTATTCTTTAGAATGCTTGAGACTGTATAATGACAAAGGAATTTTGTGTTTAAGTAGCTTAGTTCTCTGGAGAAGGCAATGGCACCCCACTCCAGTCCTCTCGCCTGGAAAATCCCATGGAGGGAGGAGCCTGGTGGGCTGCAGTCCATGGGGTCGTGAAGAGTCGGACACAACTGAGCGACTTACCTTTCACTTTTCACTTTCATGCATTGGAGAAGGAAATGGCAACTCACTCCAGTGTTCTTGCCTGGAGAATCTGAGGGACGGGGGAGCCTGGGGGGCTGCCGTCTGCAGGGTCGCAGAGTCGGACATGACTGAAGCGACTTAGCAGCAGCAGCAGCTTAGTTCTCCACGTTGAAGTCTCTTTTTTGGTCTGATTCTGCCTTCCAAATACGTGTGGAATTTGGCCATTCTGACCGCCTTCATTGTGACCACTCTAGTCCGGTTTCTAGATCAGTCTCCCGACTTGGTCTCTTTACCCGTGATTGGCCTCTGCAGTCTTTTCCCCAGTCCTCACAGTCTGTTTTCCCTCCGCTCACTTTGCTCCAGCCTCACTGGTCTTTCTCACTCTTCGTGGATCAGGTTTCTACCTCAGGGCCTTTGTGCTTGCCTGCCTTGCATGACCTTCACTCACATATGTATATTGCTTTCTTCCTCACCTATTTCTGATGTTGCCTTATCAGAGAGAACTTCCTTTTCTTCACTTAGTGAGATACCATCTTCCCTTTCCCTCTTCCTCCACCTTACTCTTTGTCTTTTTTATCTGCTTTATTTTCCTTCATATGTCTTAACACCATGTGATATATTTGTTTATTTTTGTGTTTTCTTCCCCTTTTCCTTCAATCGAATATAAGCTCTAAGAGAACTGGGACATTGCTTTTGCTACTGTTAGATCTTAGCTCCTGGAACAGCGCTGGCACACAGTAGACGCTCAGTAAACATTTGTTAAATGAGTGAATCAACAGCATGATCTGCATTTTTTTTTTAAAGAATATAGTGGTTTGAGCATACAGTATTCTCAGAAATTTAGAGGTTTTTTTCCTCCTTCAAAGGCAGTATATATAAGGAATCCAGTAACCAGAAGTAGGATACCAATGATGAAAGTACTTTATAGAATACTGTAGTGAATATCAGCATTGGGGGGAGTCAGACATGTTCAAATTACATTTCTTCCCCTTACTAGCTGTGTGATCTTGGGCAGTTTACTTTCTCTATGAAGATTTTAGCATTTTCTTTTATGAAACAAGACTAATACCTTATAGAGTGTGGCAGAGATTAAATGAGATATTCCACACTTAGATATAAAGCACTTAGCATAAGACTAATATATAATCACCTGACTATACCTATATTAGTAGTACTTGGGGCAGCTCTAAGAACTTGAAAATAAAAAACTGATTTCTGTTAATGAGATCATGTATTATATTTATATTAGAGTAATGTAAAATCACCTTAAAAACGGTTTCCAGACCATAGGGAATTTACCATAGTCTGGTAGAAATATGTGGACTTATCTAGAGGAGTGATGTATTCATCATAAATTCCTTGTCCAGAGTCAAACAGTGTTTATGACAGAGGAAAGAGATAGTTTTAGTTGGCAGAGTGTGAGTATTCTGTTCCCACCGAAGAGATTATTCTTACTGTGGAAAGGAATACCTCAATGTGTTTTAAGTTGTGGCTATGAAATAATCAATTCCTCCCATTCCTTTTGTTCTGATTGCATTATCCTAAGCAGCTTTCTCTGAAATTTTTTTGTACAGGGAGAGAATGCACTGGTCCTTCAGGGTTAGAATATTGTAGTTTCCATTACACTTTTTCCCCATGATTAATAAACTGACTTTCTGGTTTTATAGATCACTTTTTGTAAACTTCAGTAGTATGAACTTTGTAAACTTTAGTAATCTCTCTCTGACCTTGAGAGTTGTCTTTAAGTGTAGTCACAAAATTGGATTTCTGTGTCTGAAAGGCCAAAACCATAATATTAGATATATTAAATGCCATCCTTGGAAGATAGTCTACCCAGTTTTTTCTGTGGCAAATACATGTATTTTCCACTTTCACACTGTATGTTTATTAACATAGGTTGCTAAGAGTTGCCTGTTTTGTTAAAGGTACATTTGCATTATTTTGCATATAAATGGTCTTTTATGAACCACCCATCAACTTTAGACAAATCAAGTTTTCATTTGAGATCTTGCATTATAAAAATATTTTGTTGGAAGGATAAATTTTAAAATAATGTTTTAAGCATTGTCACAGTTTTCTTTGCAACTTGAAATTTTCATCAACATTTTGCAGTTCTCACAAATGGTTGTTTTCAATGCAAAGGAACACCTGGGGTGGTTTTGTCTAAATTATTCAGATTTGTAAATGTTTGTTAGGTTTTGAACAAAGTTATGTCATGTAACTATCAATGTCTTGGATTAAAAAGTATTACCAAAGATGGCCTAGAAATAATGACCTTAAAAATATTTTATATTCAGTTAGATAAATTCTTCTGTTACGTCTTGAGGTGTTTGAGCTTTAGGACTCCAATAAAATGTACAGTTTTAAGGAAGTCATCCCACAGAGTTATTATGTAAGTTAATAAGGTCATTCCATCTCTGACCTTTGAAAAAGATCAGTTTGAATACTATCTCTTTGGAATTTAGCTGAAGAGCTTCTTGATTAATACATTTTTTTTTTACTATATTTGAATTTCTTGCTTACGCATATTGTTTTCTTGTGTGTGTGTGTAATTTAAGATTCTGAACCCTTATAAAATGCCTATTCTTGCTACTTTGTTATACTTCTTAAAGTTTTATTAATACTAGCTGATATTTTCTGAGTATTAATACTTCTGTTGTGTCAAAAGCATAAAGCAAATTCACAGAGACTAGAATCTACATGGAAAACACATTGTGGAAAAAACAAACAGGGTAGCTTGGCCCTGGGAAGTTAAGAAGACTGTAAATCTTTTCAAATTATGTGCAGTGTTTTAACATTGTATATTTTATTTAAGAAAAGATTCCTGCTTTTCCTAGGGTTTTTTGATGTTTGACTATAAAAGTTAAAACCTAGGAATCTAGAGGCAGAAAGAAACTATTATAGCTATTTGAAATTTAGTTCATATTACTCATAGAAAGTACTTTCATTTGTCATATCTCAGTAATTAATATTCATACAAGTTTTTCCATTTTTAATAAAATAATTCCTTTTAATATCTTTTAGGAAGTTAATTAACTGTTAGTATGAGTGCAGTCATTTTAGGATTTTGGAAATGTGACACTAAAGGAAAACAAACTCATCAGGGTCCTTAGATAAATCTGAATGCCTGTTGCTTGGGCATATACCACTAGTTTAATAATAGTAGTAGTCTGAAGATAATGTCCTGTCTGATGTTGAAGCTGAAACTCCAGTACTTGGGCCACCTGATGCGAAGAGCAGATTCATTTGAAAAGACCTTGATGCTGGGAAAGATTGAGGGCAGGAGGAGAAGGGGATGACAGAGGATGAGATAGTTGGATGGCATCACCGACTCAGTGGACATGGGTGTGGGTGGACTCCGGGAGTTGGTGATAGACAGGGAGGCCTGGCATGCTGTGGTTCATGGGGTCACAAAGAGTTGGACATGACTGAGTGACTGAACTGAACTGAGTGTTTATTCAGTTTCATTGATTATAGATTAATTGAAAAATACTTTCTCATTTTAGTAAATCTCAGAATGAATGAATTAAAAATATGATTTTATATATTTTGTAGTTCTTCTCATTAAAATGAAAGATTCTGCAAAAAAACATGGCTCTGATTTTCTACCTCATCTATAAAGCAGCTACAATGTGGTTTGCTAATGAACTGTATGTCATTCTTAACCTTCTGCAGTTAGTGTATAATAGCAGGTTATGATTACATTTGTCAAACAAATTGGACTTTCATTATAGCTGTATTTAAATTTTAAAGCATTTATGAATTCTATCCATGAAATTATAAAAACCCAATCTATAGCAAGTTTGAATTTTAAAATGAATACAATTTTTTAGCTGCTCTGAAAGCATTTAAAAACTGCTTTGTAAATATTGTTCTTTGAGAGTTGCTCACATAGAAAAGAACTTCAGGAAGATTTAAAAATGCAAATCTGATGTCAGCACAAGGTATTCATTTTGTGTAGTGTCACTTGCAAATCTATGGGTTAATTTGGAGGGTTGTGTCTTAGTGTGGTTTATTTGTTTCCTTTCAAAGTGAAGATTTTGCACGAAACCCTGTTATGGTTCCAAGACCTTTCATAGATGGAGTCTTTTCCAGTAAGATACTTCTGTTTCTCATCTTTGCCCTCTTTGGCTGTAGGACCTCTTCCTGATTTATTTCTAACTCCCATCTCTAGTTTTTATAGACTTTTATTGCACTCAAGTAAATTATCCTGTATCCTCCTATTACCACCATCTTATATTTTATGTGTTTGCCTTTATATATTTGTGATGTTTCTCCTCTGATTTAATAGTTTTATACAATAGTATAATATGTGAGAATGCAGGCTTATCTAACCTTTATGTCTATATTGGTTAAATCCTCAATATAGTACTGTACCTAATTTTGGAAACAGCTCACCAAAGGGTAGGAATATGGAAACTTAAGAGAGTAGTGCAGATGATTAGAGAGACAAAACTTTCTTCGTTGCTGCTATATCCCCAAGCTTCTCAGACAGTGCTTGGGCATGTAATAGGCGCTCAATAAATATTTATTGAATAAACAAAGGAATACTACTTATGAACTATAATCATTCAACATTCAAAAGGAATGTCTCAGAGAAAAGGCTGTGTTGGTTAACTGTATAGAAAATATTAGTTACATTGACCTTGGCAGTAAAGGTTTAAATTAGATTTATACGTTTTGTACTTGTTTAACCTACTAACCAACCTGTATACACGCACACACACACACGCACACACAATTTAGTCACCAAATTCAGTGGATTATTCTTTCTTGTCCACTTTGTCTGTCCTTTGCCTCTTAATTGGTTCCTTTCTTTTCAGTTTCTATTTTTTTTCTTTTCGGTTTCTTGATCCAACACACTTAGAGTTAACTTTCGGAAATAAAGTTGATTATATCACCTTTAGCAGCTAACAGGATAAACAGTCCTTTTGTATGGCATATAGGTTTATTCCCTGATAGATTTCACACCTTCCTATGCTCTATCTGTAACAAGTTGGTTGTTGTTTTCCGAGCAGACTGTTGATATTCTACTTTTATAATATTTTCTATGCTGTGTCTTATACCTAAAATGCCTTCTTGTCACCAGCACTCTTTTTTGGAAGAAGACATCAATATTTCTTCCCTGAAGATGTTTCAGTCATTGATTATTAGATTTTAGGTACTTGCAGTTAAACTTTTAAAGACCAGATTAAGCCAGATGACCCCATCCAGCTGCTTAAAGAAATGACTCAGTTCTATTAGAAGCAGACTGTTTTCTCAGTGCCAAGTACTGTTTTAGGCACTGAAGCATCTTCCCTCCTGGAAGGTGCCTACACTCTGTACTCTGCTACGAAAGGTTTTTCTCATTTCTCCTAATGTTTTTGGGTTAGCACTTAGTGGTAAGAAAATGACCAATGGTAATTTCAATTTCTGATTATCAACAGGTAAAGGAGCTTAAGCATTCAAACAAACTAGAAATAACAGACATCAAACTGGAGGCAGCAAGAGCTAAGAGTGAGCTAGAAAGAGAAAGGAGTAAAATTCAAAGTGAACTGGATGGTAATATATGATTTCCCGTGCTTTTTACTGTTATTGTCACATATAAATTCAGATTACTAAAATAGATCAAGCTGAATTTTTATTTCCAATTTTAAGATTAATTGAATTTTAATTTTAGAGCACATATGTATTGTTTTTGTTTGTGTGTTAAATGTTCATTCTGTGATGTAACTTAAAAAATCAATCTTATGGTTATATCATAGTTATTTGATTAATACATAAAGTAAGTGAAACTTTATGGATAGGATTCCATATTTCCAGTGTTTATAACTTAAAAATCTCTTTAGATCATATGATTATTAGTCTCAGATCATTTTAATTCTAAAGAATGTAAGGAACGTAGGTGGGTTTCAGGCCCAATTTTTAAGTCAAAAATTTTTTTTTTTAGGTAGATGCTAGGCCAGTTGTTGGGTCTAGTTCAGCCTCAGCTTATTTTTAAACTCCAATTTAGCCTTAGAATGTCCTTATCATCAAGATTTCTCAGAATTTATATTGTTCCTGACTTTTCTTAAGTATTTAAATAAGCTGCCTGGACCTGCAGCTGTCATCACATTGGTCTTTAGTTGAACTAGACTCCAGTTTCAAACAGAGCTTATGATGAATGACTGTTTTCATTATTAATTTCTGCTTGATAGTGGCTCATGGATTTTCATAGTGTTAGGGAGCAAATTTTCTTTGGAACTTAGAGTTTGAGAGCCAGCTTTGCATTTTTTTAAACTTTGAGTTAGATATGAATTTGTTTTAATTATTCCATATACAAAATACTTGTCATTTCATTACAAGGAAAATTTGTGAATTCATTGGACACACTTGAAAGCTTCCAATTTACATTAGAAATCTAACAGTTCTAATAGGTTTTGATTTTATTCACTCTGCTTCCCATCTAGCTTTCTGTGGGATTTAGATTACAGAACCCTTTTAAAAGTATTTAAACCTCTTTTGATATAACCCAGGTCGATGTCCCCAGCTATCAAGATCCAAATGAGTAAATGTATATACCGTTTATTAAGGTTTTTTTGTGTGCATGCTTAATAAAATGACAAATGAAGCCTGAGTAGTAGTCTTTTTCATTAAGAATAACTTGTCAACAAATGTAAAGATCTTTGATATATGTATCAGGAGAGACTTTCTATGTTCTTTTGTCTTACTGACTTATGAATATTTGCTCTTAATTACAATTTTTCTTTTTAATAACATTGAATATAGTAGAGTGTTCTTCTTTAAAAAATACTAGGATTACAGTCAGACAATGAAATTCTCAAATCAGCTGTTGAACACCACAAAGCGCTCTTAGTAGAAAAGGACCGTGAATTAATACGTAAAGTACAAGCTGCCAAAGAAGAAGGTTATCAAAAACTTGTGGAATTACAAGATGAAAAGTAAGTAATTAATTACCTTATTTTGTGTTAATTCTCCTTGCAGATGAAAACATTTTGCTGTCATATCATGCTTATTGTAGTTCTTGTAATGTAATTATCATTTGTTGTTTTAGGCTAGAACTTGAGAGCAGATTAGCGGATTTAGAGAAAATGAAAGTGGAACATGATGTCTGGAGGCAGTCTGAAAAGGATCAGTGTGAAGAGAAATTGCGATCTTCACAGATGGCAGAAGAGTCGGCCAGAAGGGAACTACAGAGTATTAGGTTATATATGCATATATTTTTTAAACTTTATTTTGAAATAATTTCATAGCTAACAAAGCATTGTAAAACTAGTACAGAGTATTCCCATATAATCTTTGCCCAGATCTCTTATATATTTGAATTATTTTGATAACTTTGTTGAAAATCAGTTGGCCTTATATATGTGTGTGTCTGCATTCTGCTCTGTTCTATTCCATTGATCTGTATGTCTGTCTTGACACCAGTATCACTCTCTTGACTACTGTAGTTTCATAATAAGTTTGATTCAGGTAATGCATATCTTCTACCTTGTTCTTTTTGTGCAAGATTGTTTTGGCTTCCCTGGGTCCTTTGCCTTTCCACTTAAATTTGGAAATCAGTTTATCACAAAGACTTGTTAAGATTTTGATTGGCATTGCATTGAATCTGTAGCTCAGTTTAAGAAGAGTTGTCATCTCAAGTCTGTCCAGTCAATGAATATGGCTTATCTCTCCATGTACTGTATTTGTGTTCTAAGTTGCTTCAATTGTGTCCAACTCTTTGTGGCCCCATGGACTGTAGCCCGCCAGGCTCCTCTGTCCATGGGATTTCCCAGGTGAGAATACTCGTGTGAGTTACCATTCCCCTCTCCAGGGGATCGTCTCGACCTAGGGATTGAACCCCACATTGCTTGTGTCTTCTGCATTGGCAGGCGGATTCTTTACTACTAGTGCCACCAGGGAAGCCCAGAGAACACTGGACTGGAAGTCAGAAGTTTTTCATTCAACAAACATTTGTTGAGCATATACTATGTGCCAAGCTCAATTCTAGATACTGGGCATTCAGGAGAATGAGATAACTAAGATATACTCTCTGTCCTGAAGAGGACAAGTTCAATACCTAGTGGAGTGGTGGTGAAATGGGAATGATAAGTGGAAGGATCAGTATAACCAGGGTACAAGTCCTGGTTTAGGCCTACAGTTTCGTTTCAACTTTTGGATCAGTGCCTGGCACCGTGCTTGTATGCATGCTTAGTCACTCAGTTGTGTCCAGCCCTTTGCAATCCTTTGGACTGTAGCCTACCTGGCTCCTTTCTCCATGGGATTTCCCAGGCAAGAATACTGGAGTGGGTTACCATTTCCTTCTCCATGGGATTTTCTCTACCCAGGAATCGAACCTGCATCTCCTACCTTACAGGCAGATTCTTTACCACTGATTCTACTCTGAAAGCATTTGTATTATATTTGGGTCATCTTTAATTATTGTCATCAGAGTTTTGTAGTGTTCATTGTATATATCAAGCTAATATTGTATTAATTTTAATTCTAAGCATTTTATGTGATTATGAACAGTTATTTAAAAAATTTTTTACTTCCTAATTGTTTATTGCTAACATCCAAGGTCTCCTGCATTGCAAGCAGATTCTTTACCAACTGAGCTATCAGGGAAGCCCCTCCAAAAAAGAAAAAAACACACTCATAGTTAGAAATATAGTTGACTTTATGTGTTGGTCTTGAATTCTGTGACCTTACTAAAGTCATGTATTGTCTACTAGCTGCTTTGTGGGTTCTTCATTTTCTAACATCATGTTGTGTACCTTGTACTTTCTTTTAGTTTATTTCTTAATTTTTTGGGTTATTTTTTAAGTTGGATATTTACTTCACCTAATGTTCATTCTTTCATTTGTATTGGTAAAAGTGTCGTGCTGAGAATTTTCTTATTACTGCTTTAAATGTATCATAGAGATTATGATATGCAGTGTTTTAATTATCATTATTTTTTAGAAATTCTCTAATTTTAATTTGCATCTTTTTACCTAGGAATTAAGAAAATGTGTTAATAGAAGGTGTGGTTGTTTAACAGAAGGTGAAATGAATAGTTTTCTAGGGCTGCCATACATAACAAAATACTGCAGACAGGGGTAGTTTAAACAATGGAAATTTATTTTCTTCTAGTTCTGGAGGTTAGAAGCCTGAGATCCCTATGTATTAGCAGGTTGAGTTTCCCCTGAGGCCTCTCTCCTTGACTTGAGTGGTTGCATTTTTACTGTGCCCTCATGGGGCCTTTCCTCTGTACTTATGTATCCCTCGTACCTCCTTCCTCTTCTTATAAGGACACCAGTCTTAGGATTAGGACCCACTCATATAACTTTATTTAACCTTTGTTACCTCTTTAAATGCCCTGTCTCCAGTAAAATCACATGTAAGTTATTGAAGCTTTTTTAAATTTCCAGGTGATAGGCCTTATTTGCTTATTGTTAAATTTTAGTTTTATTGCATTGTGATCAGAGAGTAATTTATCTGTTATTTCTGCTTTATAGGACATACTGATGTTTTCTTTGTGACCTAATATATCAAGGCCAGGACTAGGGTAAAGCCAGTGAGGCAATCAGGGTGCAGAAATTTAAGGAGGTACTCTTATGTGTTGACATTGGACTTGCAGGAAATCTGGACTGAGTCTCCTTAAATTTTTTACCCTGGACACCTCTCTTGCCTTCTCCCAGTCTTAGACCTGTAATACATGATCAATTTTGTGAGTGTTACATAAGGACTAGTAAAGAAAGTGCTTAGTTATAAGAGTATAAAATTTAGTATATACATCCATAAGGTCTACCTTATTAACTGTGGTGTTCTTCTCCATACTTTTATTTTTTGTTCATTTGTCTTGTACAAAGAGTTATATATTAAAGTCTCCTATTGTTTAATGTGCTTCTATATAGAACTATGACTCCTTACATTTCTTGTAATTTTTTTCTCCATAGGTGATTGCTATATTATTTGGTATATAAATAATTATAACAGTTACACTTATGAATTGTGGCTGTTAGCATTTAAAAGCACTTTCTTTTTGTCTTTTTTTTTTTGGCTTGAATTTCACTTTGATATTATTATTACTCCTGTTTTCTTATTGCTTCCATTTGCCTGATATACTTACTGTTAGTCTGTCTTTTTAAATGTGTCTTTTATGTGTAGCAGACAGCTGGGTCTTGCTTTGTATCCAAACTAGAGACCTTTTTGTTTTAATGGATGAGTTAAGCCTGTTCACATGCAGTGAGCACACATGCAGGAGGAGCGTAAGAGATCACTTGTTGAGATTCAGACTTATCTTCCTCTTTTTCGTTAGAGGTATTTTGAAGTTTGGGCGTTTTCTGTCTTCCATTTATGTGAAAGATGTGATTTTGTGTGGCTTTATTTGATCTTGGTTTTCTGTATTTTTTTAAGGACATATATATATATATATATGTATATATATATATATAACATAGAACTAGGCATTTACTGTTATCTTTTGCTACCTAGAAGTCCCCTATATCTGCTTTTTTAAATTCTGAAATCTTAATGACTTTCTAATTATATAGGTTACAGTTGAGAGTTTTTGTTTTTTGTTTTTTTAAATCATGTTCATTAAGCTGTAGGTTATGTTTTGGGACACAGTTTTAAATTTTCATTACCCGGGAAAGAATCACCTCAGGCAAAGATATATGTATTATTTACAAATGTCAGGTTTTATGAGCTATTAATTTAAATGTTAGCTATGACAATTCTAGGATCATAAATCTGTTAGGGATTTTGAGAGCCAATCTTATGCTACTCTTTGCTTTTATGTGGGTACATATTTTTTTAATGAATCAGGACAGTTTGGCTCTTTTTTAAATCTCTTCTTGACAGTCTCCAGAAAGGAGAGAGAGGGGCCCGCCCTCATCCCAGAAAACTCACTCTAATGTTTTACCTTATTATGGTCCCACCGTTTGGCCAATTAGAATCCTTTCTGTTAAAATTTAAGCCTGTTTCTCCTGGTTTGGGCTTCTGTTGCTATAGTGATGAAATGTGCAGCAATCATCACTTGAAGACAGTAATGAACTTGACCCTTATTTTTTTATGCTATATAAAGCAGCTTTCATTCCTGTATTTTTTAAATATAAATGATTTTATATTAGCTGCTTTGATCAATTTTTGATTCCTCTTCAGTTTCTCCAGGCCATTTATAATGTCTAATGGACCCTAATTTATTAAAATAAGGACCTACTAATCAACTTAAAATATATTAATTAGCAGAAGGGTTAATTCACAAAATTTGTGCATTTTTTAATAGTCAACAATTGTGTTTTTCCCATGGCAATTCTGCTCTTCTGATTTATTAAGTCTAGCTATATCAACCAGGTCTATTTTGACCAGTTAATAAAACAATCATCATTGTGACTTGTCTTACTTAGAATTTGTGGTAGGTCAGAAAGAGACTACCTGTGGAGAAAAAGGTTTTGCTAAGGTTACAGAAAGTCTAAAGCATATAAAGTAGAAGTATCCATTTATTTACACAGTGGGGATTAATCACTTTGGCAGATGCTTTCAACTAATAATTACATTCCAGTTTCTTGTCTTCATTAACATGGTTTCTTCATCACTAGCCTAAATAATAAAATGATTACTCTAATTAATATTCTGTATTTCAAAAGGCTATACCCCCCACAAATTTGTAAAATTTATAAAGTTACCTGTAAATTAAAAACATGCTAAAATTACACTATTTTAAATAAGCTAGCATACCCAGCCAACTTTTGGTTATGACAGTAACCCAGCTTCAGCTGACTTGGCATAACAAAAAGTGGTGGCGGGGTGGCGGGTACTTTATTGGCTGAGATATATTGTGGACAGGACAGCTGGACAGCTGGATCCAGGAACTCAAACGTGCCAGATCAGAGTGATTTCTTCCCTCCTTTCACCTGCCTCCTCTCTTCTTTCCTAACTCCTGTATCTGCTGCTCTTCTGCTGCTTTCTCTGTGAGGACAAGACTGTCTTTAGAGATTAGAGACAGAGTTCGCACTTGATGATTCAAATTAGGAAAATCTGGAAAGACTTTGTGTATGGTTCATATGCCTGTCCCTGGGCCCAGCACTGTGGCTAGAGGGATAGGGCACTCTGACTCTGCCGAAGTTTTATTGCCTGTTTCTGAGTGCATAGGCATGGTGGGGGTATGTAGACGGACAGGTGGTAAAGTGCAATTTGTTACCACAAGTGGGAAGAGGTGCCTTAGAGAAATAGCATCAGTAACTAACTGAGAGAAAGAGGACTTGATCATTTAAAATTTTTGCAGTTTAAAGCCAAAGCTGTATTTTTCTGTTTGTGGCTTTCTGATTTTTTTCTTAAGTTTTTTAGAAACATTTTTAAAAACTCTCTCCTAATGTATCTTCCTTTCTACTTATTATACTGTATCTTGAGATTAATTATCTGTTGCATATCATCTTAGTAGGTATCAGGAGACTTAGACTTGGCCAGTTGAACAAGTTCTTTTACAGAATTTGAACAACAAAATAAGGGATGGAAAAATATGTGGCAGCTTTTGGCAGACCAGTTTGTGTGACATGCCCTTGCTTGTAATTCAGGCCAATTACTCTAGCCTGGTTCTGGCTCTCTAGTTCCCTGGCTATTCATAGAGTCTCATGTATTTTCCCAGGAAGGTCCTTGTTTCTTTGCTAATAATGACCAGAGACGATTTCCATCACTCAGGGCAAGAACCTTGGCTTTTAGGAAAAACTGCCTTTCAAAAAACTGGTTCTAAGGATCTTAGACAATAGAGAAATCACAAATACAACTTCTTGTGCTTTCCCTTGGTAGTTGAGACTAACATCAAATGAAGCCAAGAGTTTAAAGTCTAGTTTCTCAGTCATACTAGCCACATCTCAAATGTACAGTAGCCACATGTAGCTAGGCACTATCATATTGGATGTGCAAATTATAGAACATTTCCATCATTAAAGAAAGCTATCAGACAGTGCTGTTGGACTGTAAGTTCCTTAAAGACAGGATTTTGTCTGTTATTCTCTGGTGTATCTGCAACACTTAGGACTGGGTTCTGTGTTTGTAGGTACTCTGTAAATAGTTATTGAATGTTGAAATGACATACATCAGCTGCCTGTCATAGAAAACTTAGGCAGTAGTCAGCACAAGAGAACTTTGAAGAGAACTTAGAACAGCTCCATCTCACTGTTACTCCAAATGTTTCCCATTGAACTTTTCTGCAGCTACATACTATGTTGTACTTTGGTCTTCCAGTCTGCCTACCAAATATAGTTTCATTATTTTCATAATTGCTTTCAAAGTGTAAAGTATGTGATATCATAGTTTCTCATTCCTCAACTTACCCTTTACCTTTCAACTTCTCCCCATCAGCAGTCCATTAACAATTTTTGCTGTAGCCTCTGAAATCTGTCCCATTACCAATAAATTTTTTTATAGTCTCCACAATTTTAAAACACCCCCCTCACTGATAACTTTGTCCTGATGGTATATTGCCTGGCAACATTTTTAAGTGAAATTATTTCTCCATCTTCTCTCCTACAACTAGGGACCAAGAAGAGAAATCACTGTTTGTGAATCCCACTCTTGCTTTCAGACCATTGTTTGAGTCAGTTCGGTTCAGTTCAGTTCCTCAGTTGTGTCTGACTCTTTGCGACCCCCATGGACTGCAGCACACCAGGCTTCCCTGTCCATCACCAACTCTCAGAGCTTGCTCAAACTTATGTCCATTGAGTCAACGATGCCATCCAACCATCTCATCCTCTGTCGTCCCCTTCTCCTGCCCTCAATCTTTCCCAGCATCAGGGTCTTTTCTAGTGAGTCAGTTCTTCGCATCAGGTAGAGTTTCAGCTTCCAACATCAGTCCTTCCAATGAATATTCAGGACTGATTTTCTTTAGGATTGACTGGTTTGATCTCCTTGCAGTCCAAGGGACTCTCAAGAGTCTTCTCCAACACCACAGTTCAAAAGCATCAGTTCTTTGGCGCTCAGCTTTCTGGCTTTGCTGGTAAAGAATCCGCCTGCAATTGTTTGACTAACTTTGGTTAAAATGGCCTTTCCTTTGATGTTCCTTGCATCCATCTTATGCCTGTCTTTTTTCCGACCAGTTACTGACATACAGAATATTCCCCAATGGTCCCTGAGGACTTTCACTTCTGTTTCAGTTTTTCTTTATTTTCTGTTCCTTTCCCATCATTCTTATTGACCATACTATTCATATTCTTGACTCTTCTAACACCTTAGCCATTTGTTTATTTTATCTTAATTCTGGCATTCTTCATCTTTTTTCTAAGCCCTTTGGCTTAGCCGTGGTTTGGAGACCTTGTCATCTCTTAGAGCCAGTCATTTCAGACACTTATTTTTATTTTCTCTTTCTACCCTATTTTCACTGAAGATAATGAAACTGATAGTTCTTGTACTTAAAAAAAAATTCCTCCAGTCTCTTAGGCTGGTTCCCCTGCTGCCATGCAGCTTGGAAACTGTGTCCACTGTTCCACCATGCCCTTACTTGTACCTGAGCAAAGGATCCTGGATATGAATTTCTCCCACTTCCTACTATGTGAGAATTCTTGTATCTTTATCCATCCTTTCCTCCCTTTCTATTAAGATTCTTTTCTCCCTTTATATCCAAAGTAAGTAGTGCTTTTCATCCAACCCCTTTATTTCCTCTGGAGTCTTGCTTCAGCAGTTACCCTCTTCTTCACCTCTGCCTTCTCCTCAGACTCTTACTTTGCCTGAAAGATTCAGTTCAGATTGCATTTCTCTTATGTAGTCTTTAGTAATCCTTTTATGAAAATTAATTGTACTTTCTTCTGTACTTTGTACTTTTAAAACTTGTTTTCTTTTGGCTTGTGATACCCTTTGACTATTCAAAACTTTCTAACCATCTTTAGCACTTTTTCAAAATAATATCTACATGTTTTGAACTCTTACTGTTACCGAAATTTAAGACCATTGAATTTATCCCTGTTAAGGTTATTTTTTGTTAAATTTAAATATCCCTTAGAATCCTAACTATAATGATCTTAAATCAAGGACCAATTTTCTCCTTAAAGAAATACAAATCTCCAGTCAGTTGTGAATTCTAACCCAGAGCTGCTTTAGCAAAGTGAACTGAAGAGAATTATGTAGATCATCTTTTATAGCCTACTGAAATGATATTCTTACCTCTTTCATGTTTAATGATTGTCAGATACTCTGTCATTTTTTGGTTTCTTGGGCTTCGATTTTTGTATGTAGGGCATTTTTGTTTCTCTTCATGTCTACATAATTTATTTAGAAAGTGTTCACTAATGCTTTCATAACTGGGTCTTGTTTCTTAACTGATTTACCAGGCGTATCCAAAATCTTGACAAGAGCCAAGATATATTTGAAGCCTCACTTTAACTCTGGACCTGAGCAAGGACCCACAGTGTTTTCTCCTGTTTTCATCTTCATGGTTACGTAGAAAGAAGCCTTTATTAACTCAGTAACCTAAAGGTGCCAAGTTAAGAACACCATAAACATTTAAGGGGAAAGTGCACGGGTTTGAGAGCGTCACGTAGAGCTCGACTTACAGAATGAGCGTGTGACTGGTCCTGTCAGAGGAGCACAGGCAGAGCAAGACTGGCTCTCTTCCTTTAGAGCGGTTATTTCTGGCTTTGTGTGTACCTATCTCAGGAGCAGTGTATTTTACGGTTTTTTCCATGTCATATTGTCCAACCAGATGTCTAATCCAAGATTTGAGTTGGTTCATTTAGTCCATCAGCAAATACTTACTGAATCTTTATTAGTGTTTAAAGCACAGCTCTAGGCCCTTGAGAATGTTGTCTTCCCAAGAAGCAGTTTTAATTAGGTTGAAAAGGCATGCTATTAATGCTAAACTATAAAGAGTACGTGCCAAACAAATTATATTTGAGGTAAGTGTTTGAAGGATTTTTAAAAGGGAGGGTTGAGAGCTTATCCTGTCAAAGCTAATTAATGTAAAGTCTTTCTCATGAGGTTAGTCCTTTGGTCACCAGGGATGCACTGTGTTTTTAAGGTTTTGGCTGAGAATGTATCATTCCTTTTGAAGAGGACACAAATTGTGTAAGTGTTCTTTCATCTCAGGGATGAAAACTCAATATATTTTACAGAACATAGTATGTTGTCTTGTACTAGATAGTTTTCTTTTAAGTTCTGGATTTAAAATCAGTATAATTGTGGCATAATGAAGTGTGGGACACAGGAATACTTAGGTATGAAAAGACCTTTGTCCATCTTAATTTGGCTACTTGCTAGCCATGTGATTTGGGCCTGACTTAGCTAAGCCTCAGTCTTTCTTTCGGTATTATTTGGAATTATAAAGATGACTCTTGATACTTCCATAGAACTATTGTGAGAAATTACTAAACTGGCCAACTTTAATTAAAGGTTGTCTGTTACACTCTGGACGTCATGGTAGGCTTTAAAGATACATTTAGAAGATGTATAACCTAGTGGAATGAAAATGAAGAAGCAGTATATCTGAAAGCATGTTGTAAATTGTGAAGCACTGCCTGCCTGTAAGATGGCTCCTCCTGAACTGGACTGCTTTATCTCGCCTTACTAACCCATTGTGCTGTCCTCCACCAAAGCCTTTTGTTCAGGCTGTTCCCTGTGTTTGTCAGAACCCTACCCATCAGAGTTAGATCTCTCATCCTTCTAGATAGAGTTGATTTTTTTATCTTCTCTGTGCCCATAGCTTATAGATTTTTTCATAGCAGAAGTAGAAATTTGTTACATTTTATTTATATATGAACACAACTTGGTTGCCTGAAGTCAAAATCTTTGCCTTTGAATCTACCACTTTGCATAAAGACAATGCCATGTGTCAATATGAGCACTCAATAAGATGATTGTCTAACTAGTGAAATATATGAACTATGGATTTTTAATAATATCTTTTGTTGGGTTATGACTTTTAGGTTAAAACTTCAACAACAAATTGTGGATATTGAAAATGCAGAAAAAGAAAAAAAAGAAAATTCTGACCTGAAACAGGTATTATTTTAGCAAACATATTACTTTTATTTTTTTAAGTGCTTCTTTAAATCTGTGTTTTGAATCTATTGGAATTTTATATATAAGAATTCTGAAAATATTTGAATTGATAATGAGTTGATGAGGTTGATATGTAAAGATAAAGTGTTTAAACCTCTTTAAGCTCTAGTTTATTAAGTTTCTTTTGCTAATTGCTATTTTTCTTAAAATATTTATATGCTGTGGCCCATGATCAGTTTTTTATTACTATTTATTTACTTATGGCTGTGCGGAGTCTTCGTTGCTTCACGCAGTCTTTCTAGTTGCAGTGAGCGGGGGCTGCTTTCTGGTTGTGATGTGCAGGCTTCTCACTACTGTGGCTTCTCTTATTGTGGAGCATGGGCCCTAGGGTGCTTGGGCTTTAGTAGTTGTGGTGTGTGGGTTAGCACTTGTGGCACGTGGGTTTAGTTGCCACATGGCATGTGGAATCTTCCTGGGACCAGGGATTGAACCCTTGTGCCCTGCATTGACAGTTATATTATTAACCACAGGATCATCAGAGAAGTCCCAAGATCAGTTTTTTAAAATTATATTTTAAAGGACAATATTTTGATATTATGAATTTAAAAAATGAATTAGAAAGATCATCCCTGTTTTGAGTTACTTGTGTGATTGACTTGTAACTTTGCATTTCTTATTCCATGAGCTATTTTTTTATTACATCCCTGTGAATTCTAAAGAATTGTATTTATGGAAGGAAATTCGTATTTTAATTAAAATTGTTTGGGTTCAGGCAAGATTTATATGGGCAAAACATATGAGGAGTGAAAATTCCATTTTTAGGATTTATGCTTTGCATATATAGTTATGGTTTCTGAGTCTGAAGTAGGAGGGCATAATGTTTAGTACTCAGAAGTTATCTAGTTTCATTGGCATTGGGCTTTCTGTCATCCTGAAGATATGGAAAAGTACTAAGCTCTTTGAAGGTTGTTTGCTCAGCCATCTATAATACAGATTTAATATTTACAGCTGCAGTTAAAAATACTGAATAGTTCTTCTGGAGAAATTCATTCTAAAATAGAAATCTGAGACATACCTTTTTATTTTTCTGACGATTGCTTTTTGTACCTATATAATTCTGTAGGTGGCTTTGCTGCCATCAGAAAGTAATGGAATTATTTCTTCTTTATTGCATAACAAATCTGGTTTCTTTTGACTCTTGAGTCTTATAATGGATTCTTTTGCTCTGAAATCACTTAAACTCTCTGCCTCCTAACTTCTCTCAGAGAATGGCTTTTAGAGGTAGAAGAAAGTGAAAGAAAAGTGAGAACTTGTTTATTAATTGGTAAAATGGCTTTTTCAAGAAGTAGGTATAAATATGTCCCAAATGTGTTATTTGGATAGAACTTAAGAGCAGTGATGTGAATCTCCTAGCCTGTTAATTTGTAACTAGATAGTCAACTACTTTTCATGAGAAAAAGTACTCCCAGATAAAAGTAAACTGGGATAAAGACGCCTGAGTGACATTTCATAGTTTGATAAGTGGTTCTAGAGGCAATGGAGTCCCTACCATTCATTAGGTTTCTCAAATCATCTTTCTTCTGCCCAACATGATATATAGAATGCTTGAAAACTACTCAGAAACAATGTGAGAGTGAGCCTTTCTGTATTTATGATTTCTGACTGTTCAGAAAGCAGAACTCCCTGACGGAGTGCTAATCACAAGGTTTGTGGGAGTATGAGATGGATTTTCTTAGCTGCTTTCCCAGCTCACCTTTTAAAATCTGTTCTTTCCTAGGAGGCTAGGAGACTCATATTTGGATTCTTTTTGCTCACCTCGCTGCTCTCTTTCTAAGGACCCTTCTTCCCATTCCTAGTACCTCTTCTGGACTGCTTATTTGGGCAAGAGGAGAGAGGACTCAGTTGCAGATTGAGGAATAAGTTTGTTTATAGTCTCTGGTTATATTAAGAAATGATCCTAATGCTGCTGCTTTTTATTATTTTGTTCCAGGGTATCCCAAAGGGCACATCAGTGGGGTGGGACATTTGTGAGGGAAGATGCTTAGTGTCTTCTATATCTCTCATAGTCTGTTGCATTTGTTTATGTTTCTCTTCTTTTAAGCAAATCAATGGTTTGCAGATCCAAGTGACCTCACTGGCAAAGTCAGAAAATGAGTTGCTGAATTCAAACCAAATATTGAAGGAAATGGTGGAGAGGTTAAAACAGGAATGCCGAAATTTAAGAAGCCAAGCTGAAAAAGCACAACTAGAAGTTGAAAAGTAGAGTTTGTTTTTTTATGTACAAATTTTCTTCTTTCTGCTGTATTATATGTAGTTCTTTTAACAATGATTCCAGGGTTGAATGTATTTTGATAACTAGTTAAAATACCCCATTGACATGTACAGTGGTTTTAGGTAATGTAGTTTCTGTTTCTAGAGATGAGCTTTTAGAACTCTTCAGATTGCTTTTAAAAAAAAAAGAAAAGACCTCTTAAAATTCTGCCTGACCACAGTATTTTGAAAACCTTCAAAGAAACACTTCTTTATTCATTGAGTAAATCAATACATTTCTTACTTCAAATATATAAATTCTTCTGAATGCCAGAAGTCAGAAACAAAATTTTTGATGTGTACAATTTACTTCCTAGAATTAGAATCTTTTGGATTTTCTCTTTGAAAAGCTCATTTATTTGTTTATATTTTTTGATCTTGGATCTCTTAGTAGTAGACAGTCTGGTAAACTGTAGGGAGATGATTGTGGTGATCAAGATTTCCCTGGAAGCTTTTGTTTACATATGGTAGAAAACTACTGTTTTGTATTTGCTTTGTTATTATAACATGTCATTATAAGTTTTTGAATCTATAAAACATTATTCTTTTCACACTTTTTTCTTCTGAAGGCTGCTCACCACATAAAATTTTTTTTCTTATTTTCAGTTTTTCATTTTTTAAGGCTTATCCATGGCTTCGTATATGTGGTTGAATTTCAAGAAAAGTAAGCAAGATAATTGTCCATAATGTGTTGTGACATACCACAGAGTCCAAATTATTTTGCTTATATTTTGCAAAAAAATTAGAAATTTGTATCTTGGAATCCTTTAAGTGTTTGTGGAATCCTTTAAATCTTTAAGTGTTTGATTTCAAATGTGCTTAAGAATTCTAATAACAGGATAGCTAGCAAATTTAACCAATTTATCATTGGTTTCTGAATGTTATTCACAGGATTGTTGTTTAGTCGCTAAGTTGTTGTCCAACTCTTTGTGACCCCATGAACTATAGCCTGCCAGGCTCCTCTTTCCACAGGATTTCCCAGGCAAGACTACTGGAGTGGGTTGCCATTTCCTTCTCCAGGGGATCTTCCCAACCCAGCAGTCAAACCCTCTTCTCCTGCATTGGCAGGTGGATTCTCTACCACTGAGCCATCAGGCAAGCCCATTTATAGGATTACATAGCAGAAAATAGCTGGACTAGGGGCCAATAAGATGTGATTTTGGTCCCAGCAAAGACACTTAAAATCTGTATGACCTTAGTCACGCAGTCTGACTCCTCAGGGTTTGTATATCTCATTTGTACTGCCTATAGTGAGGATACAAAGAAATCATAAAGTATACAGAAGAGCTTTTAAGATGTAAGTTGTTATGATGTTACTATAAAATAGCATGTATATGAAATTTATTCTAGCTAGAAAACATACCACATTAAGACTAGATAACAATGCTGATTTTAGCCATCTTTACTGGGCTCAGTTTTTAATAGCTTGGTGGTATCAAAGTGAAGAACTAAAGGACCTCTTGATGAAAGTGAAAGAGGAGAGTGAAAAAGTTGGCTTAAAACTCAACATTCAGAAAACTAAGATCATGGCATCCGGTCCCATCACTTCATGGCAAGTAGATGGGGAAACAGTGAAAAANGAAAGAGTAACATGGAAACTTACATTACCATGTGTAAAATAGATAGCCAACAGGAATTTTCTGTATGGCTCAGGAAACTCAAACAGGGGCTCTGTATCAACCTAGAGGGATGGGATGGGGAGGGAGATGGGAGGGAGGTTCAAAAGGGAGGGGATACATGTATACCTATGGCTGAGTCATGTTTAGGTTTGACAGAAAACAACAAAATTCTGTAAAGCAATTATCCTTCATTTAAAAAATAAGATTTTTATGAAGAATGTAGTACATGTATTGTTTTAATAAGCACAGTGGCTGGCTCATAGGAAACAGTCACTAATGGTGGTGTTAGGAAATACGTGGTCATGCAAGAATGCCTGTGTTGGATAAGGGAGGATGTAGTGAAGAAGGAGGCAGTGAGTTTGATTATACTTGTGGTAATATCTATTTAATTCTAAGAGTTAATAGGTTTTGCATACATTTTCTGACAGGGCATTGGAAGAGAAGCAAATACAGTGGTTGGAAGAAAAGCATAAGCTTCATGAACGTATCAATGACAGAGAAGAAAAGTATAATCAAGCTAAAGAGAAATTGCAGCGAGCTGCAATTGCCCAAAAGAAGGCAAGTGGTTCTTATTAAATTGTTTCTGTAGAGTAAAAACATATCTATTTTAGGAGAATAAAATATAAAATTAAAACAGACTTTAGTGGTATGTTAAGTTTGATATTTAAACATGACATTTTGCTGTCAACTTTGCAAAGATAAATTGAGAACATGCAAACTACTCAACAGGTTTATTTCAAAATATGTGTACAAGTCAGTTTTTCAGAACCCACATATGGTTTTCCACAGAGATGGTAGTTTTCATTGATAGTTTCTAGACCAGCCCATACAAGGCTCATTTAACTCCTTCTTTACTTAAAATACAGTGTGATTAGGTCTGTTTCAGCTGTGCTTAACCAGTTCTTGTAACATTGTTTTTGTGGTTCCAGTACTTTTTTGTTTCCAACTCAGGAATATAAGAGCAAGTATCTCCTTACCCCAGCAGAAGGAACTAGGACTCCCCTGGCTTCTGAAACACCTGTGATAGTTCCCACACTCATGATCTTTTTAAAACTTCATCTTTGCAGGCACATTTTCTCCAGAACCTAAAAACTTTAGTCCAGGGTATTATGGAAATAATGTAACCAGGTGATTCATCTAAGTCAGTGGTTTTTACAGCAGCAGACCCAAGGAATGCAGCATAGCCTCATTAGTAACCATGGCTCACTATGGCAGCAATTCAGCAGTTATTTTCAGCAAGATTGGCACATGTATGTTGGGTGAAGGGGAACGTAGTAAAAAAAAAAAATCCCACAAATAAGTTGTTATGTCTTCATTTCATAAGTTCCCTTAGTACTGGCATTGATGTGAGAAAGTGAGAAGGTCTAAAATGAGAGGAAGGTACTTCAAGACATATACAGACTGGTATCTTAATGTCTCTATGTTTATTGGTAAGTGTAGTTGTTCATATTTGCTTAAGAGAACTGTATATAATTTACATATTCTGAATTTGAAAATAAAGGACGCAGTTCCTAGTGACTTGTTTATGTTATTAGATATAACTGCCAAATTTGTCCTGATAGTTGGAGTGACACCATGAGAGACCTAAACGTTATTACTTCCCCACTTTCTTGGTTTATGAATATTAGCATTTCTCCTTCTTTTATGCTAAAAATAGTATAACAGTGAGATTATAAAACAGTACTTAACTATATAGGAATACCAGTGTTTTATATTGGTATGAATATAAATACTTATGTTGTTTCATTGTTTTCTCCCCTGAATCTATCACTTCTCTTTCTCTTTCCTTCTGTCCATGTAAGTACTGAGCAGTGTATGGGTATTGATGGGGTTTTAGTGAAGTTATTTCACGGCTTGGAATGATCTCAGAAATCCTACTTATGCCTCCTTGTATTGTTTGAAGCCTAAAAGCATCTGAAGCCAGATTTTAGCTGGAAATCATTAGAAATTACAAGGGCTGATTTTATCTTTCACAGAAAAACTTTTATGTTGAGGCTTTAGAGATAAGTATCTTAGAGATCAGATTCTAATTATTGAGGTTAGGTTGGGTTGACTTCCTTTGGAGCAAAAGTGACATCCAGTGGTGAGACAGATTATAAGCTAATCATAGGTATACCCGAAAGAGGGGAGAAGGTGGTATTTTAAGAAACTTGCAAAATAACCTTTGATCAGTATTGACCTAGGATGAATGTTTTTCCTACTGAAATAACTGCCAAATGATGGGTATGAATATAGTAAATACCTATTTTACTTTTAAAAATATAATCTGTGGATTATGATTTTAAATTGTACAGAGTTGTTAATTCAGTAAATAATTATGACCCAGAGCTATCCCATCATGTGGAACACTACCCTGTAGGCTTACAACTGTACCTCAGTTACAGTGAAAAAACAAACAATAAATGTGACATGGAAATACTGTCAAAAAAGTATTTAAGTACATGTAATTTTAGGGCTGGAGGATCTTAGTATTCAGATAGATTTTTGCAGATTAGGAAACAAGTGGTCGGTAGCCAAGATCACTTGACTAGTTAGGAATGCCATGACTGAAATCTGCATCTTTCTATTCTTAAGTCTGTGTTTTTTCTGCATTGTTACTCTTTTCATTTCCCCCTTTCTTTGATTCCAGATACTCTACTGCTATTCTCTTCATTGTAGCCATAATGCACATAAGTCATTTCCTGTGGCAAAACAGTCACTATAAAATTAATTTCTTTAACTCAGACCCTTTTCCCATTCAAATTAATGGTTCTGTATGAAAATTTTGGCTATAAGATAGCATAAAGAGGATTCATAAAATTGCAGCAGACTTTTAAAATTTCTTTAAATGACATTCTTACATGGTAAGACTTAAAACAGGTCAAACATGTATTAACTCAAGAGCAGAAATCATAATCCTTTAGAGTTACTTTCCTGTGAGAGGTTCTTATAACTGGGGAGTTGCTACTCCCAGTTGATCTTTTTTCCTACAGGCTAGGTGAGATGGCTCACTGCCATCTGACTGTATTTGTTTACAACTCAAACCTCTTTAAGCACAAAGCTTATGTCATTTCTGGTAAGTGACATTACACAAAGATGTAATGTTAATGTGTAATGACATTTTGTTGTGTTGATTTGTTTGGAAAAGCTTGACCAGGTGTCTTGAGTTGGAATGCCCTTCTGTAATTGATGACTTCTCTGTGTGTTTTCCTCACACATTCTTGAAGTGTGAGTATGAAGAGCAATCTCTTGGTATGAGGACAATGATTTGTGCTTTTCCTTTTAAGGCACTTGAAATAACTTGTGATTTTTATTCTAAGGTATATGTCTTTGAAATAATTCTTGGTTAGAGATTATGAATGGTTTAGAAAAAGAAATGAACTTTAGTCTTAAAGTTGTAAAATATCTATTGAATATGTTTTGTGGCCTGGCATTATGTTACACACTGAGCAGAACATAGAAGCCATGATTAATTCCTGTCCTTGTTGACCATATAATCTAACTGGAGAAATAAAATAACATGAAATACCTAAAGAATCTTTTAGTCACTTCCATGTGGTCTGTATGGACACTAAAGTTTGAGAACCACTCTCCTAGAGAGAAGAAAGCTTGAAGACAGCCTAGTTAGAAAGCTATTACAGTAATCTTAAGATGATGTAAGAGGTCTGGAATTTGGGCTTGCAGTATAGAATGAAGGTGAAGGATGACTCCTAAAAGTATTCCAAAAGAAAAAAAATTACTGTTACAGTGCTAAATAAGAAAGAGGAAAATAGGAAGTATTTTAGCTGTGAGAGGATATGAGGAGTTGTCATAATGGAATAAAGAGCGTGTGTCGGTTGAGTACAAAGAGGAGATGTATTTGACTAAACACATGTCCAGTATAAACTGATAACAGTGCATCCATGTGGACAAGTCCTGGACTCTTAAGTGAAGATATTGTGTAGGTAACCAGAAATAATGGAACATAAAGCATGAAGATCAGTAGTTCAGATTAGAAATGTATAATTAGACCCTTCAAATTTCAGGAATGGCTGAAAAATAAAAGGACTATGAACTAAGTTGACTGAGAAAGTAGCTGATTTAGTAGAGGAATGATCAGATGGTCATAGACATAAAAGCTATAGTAGGTTGTTATATAAGCCACAGGAAAGAAAGATATCAAAGATAAAGGCTCATAATTGTTGAAAAGAGTTCATTGAATTTGGCTAGAATGTGGTAAAAGGAAAACTTTAGCTTTGAATCTTGCATCAATATTCTTTTGATTTGTCTTTTACTCTTCTGTGTTGTAATGTTTATAACACTAAGGCATCCATTTGATTGTCCTGTGATTGTATCAGACTAAAATCAAAATTAAAACCATTTCTTACAGCCACTTTCCCCTCTGGGCTTTGATTTCTTTCAGTGGAGCACCATTCTTCCAATCACTTATGCTTCAAACCTGTGGTTCATCCTGAGGGCTCCCTTTTCCCACATCTAGTCAATCCCTGTATTAGTTTCCTAGGGTTGCTATAACAAATTATTACAAATTATGTGGCTTAAAGCAACAGAAATGTATAATGTTATAGTTCTAAAGTTAGAAGTCCAAAGCCAAGGTGTCAATAGGGCCATGCTCGCTCTAGGGGCTCTGGGGTGAGGGTCTACTTCACATGGTGTTCTCTCTGTGTGTCTTGGTGTGTGTCCAGATATCTCCCTTTTTATAAGAACACAAGTCAGTATTGGATTCAGAGCCTACTCTCGTCTTATTGCTACCCTTTTTTCCAAATAAGGTCACTCTGGAGTGACCTTCCAGCACCAGGAACCAATTACCTAATTTTCTGGACACCAACTGGGTATCTAACTATTCAGTTAAATTCTGACACGACATCAAATTCCACAGATTAAAGGGTTCAGTCTCATAAGACTGCCTCCATGTCAACTGCCAGGTTCTCAGTCATCTGCACTGCTGACTAATGACTATAAATTGGGGTCCCTATAAAACCCCTGCCCAGATTCTATGAAAACATTTTATTTCTATTTCCTGGTTTATTATACTACGACTCAGGAATAGCCAAATAAAAGAGATGTATAGGTCAAGGTATAGGAGCAGTGAGGCGTACCACCCTCCTAGCAAACAGTGCACTCACTGTGCTGGTGGCTTTCCAGGGATCCCTGTTAAGCATTTTTATAGGTGTCAGTCTCCAGTATCCCAGCTCCCAGAAGTTGAGAATGGGAGGTGGGAGTAGGGCTGAAAGTTCCTACCTTCTTACCACTTGGTTTTTCTAGTGACTAGTCCTATTTTAAGACTATCTAGGGATCCCATCCTAAGTTAACTCATTAGTATTAACTCAGATATGATTGAAAGGGGCTGATTATGAATAGCAAAAGATGCTTCTGTCACTCAAGAAATTCCATGAGTTTTAGGAGCTCTCTGCCAGTAACTCAGGAAAAAGACCAAATACATTTCTTTTTCTATCACAGTCACATTCTGAGTAAACATAAGTAGTATGGAGACACTCTTCTACTCCGTACAGTCACTAGAGCCTTTGAATTCTTCCTTTATAATATATCTCGCATTTTCCCCACCTCATTTCTTTTTATTC